TAAACCCTAAGCCCTAATCCCTGAACCCCTAAACCCTAAACCCTAAACCCTAAACCTTAAACCCTAAACCCTAAACCCTAAACCCTGAACCCTGAACCCTAAACCCTAAACCCTGAACCCTAAACCATCTGCAGTTCCGTGTTGGTCGCACAGCTGCCTGGGTTCAAGTGCCACCTTCAGCAAGCAGAGGGAGCCCCGAAAGACAGACCCTAAAAGCCCCCAAGCCGGAGCTCCCACATCCTAAAGTATAGGGTTTTAGGTTTTAGGGTTGTAGGGTTTAGGGTTTTAGGGTTTTAGGTTTTAGGGTTTTGGGGTTGAGGGTTTAGGGTTTAGGGTTTAGTAGCAAACCCTAAATTCTCAGCGCTGGCAGGATGATATCCTTGCAGTGGGGACGACACCTCTGAACTACACCCAGTGGTGCAAGCGCACGGTGAAGGACCCCACCTCTTTGGGAACCATGCCCCAAGAGCATATTACAATCTAATTCACGCCCCTGTATGACCCAAAACCCTACACTAGACCCTAAACCCTAAACCCTAAACCCTAAACCCTAAACCCTAAACCCTAAACCCTAAACCCTAAGCAAAAACCTCAACCCTAAACCCAAAGCTCTAAGCCCTAAACCCTAAATCCTCAACCCTCAACCCAAAACCCGAAACCCTAAACCCAAAACCCTACACCTTACACCCCGCCCAGGCCCTGAGCCTTGAACTTTTCGGTTGCTCTAAGACTCGACGGGTTGCCTTCCGAATGAGACGATTCGTAGCTACGCCATGCCAGGTTCCGTATCCTCTGCATTTAAAGACCCTAACTCAAGCACTGCAGCCCGACGGACATGCAAAAAAAAGAAGTGCATGCGAACAGAGGCCATCTTGCATTGATGACTTGCTGGAAGCCATCATGCATGTTGCGAACCACCCTCAGCCCTAAACCGTGAACCCTAAACCGTCAACGACATATAAGACGTGAGTTCGGATTGAATTCCGGGGTTGTCGTGGTCGTGGCGTCAAGCGTGTTTTCTCGATCCCGAGGCGTTTTGGGTTGCATTGTGTTTAGATATATCCTGCAGGTGCCGAATTCTATTCAGAACCTCGAGAAACCCTCAATCTGAAGCCCTCAAGCCTTAAAACCCTAAACCCTAAACCCTAAACCCTAAACCCTAAAACCCTAAACCCTAAACCCTAAACCCTAAACCCTAAACCCTAAACCCTAAACCCTTAGCCGTCAGCAGGACAAGAAGGAGATGAAAGCAGCAGCGGCTCAGCTGAGAGCAGGTTTTAAGCGCCTTTGGAGGGTAGTTCTCTAAACTCAGGTCCCTTTTGGGGTCCCGTTTATAAGGGTGCCGTACTTTGTTTGGGGCCCAAGTAGGGGCCCTAATTTGGAGAACTGCTCAAATCGTGAATCCTAAATCATTGAGCTCCGAGCCTTAAGCCCTAAACCCTAACCCTAAACCCTCAGATCATCAGCATTCGCCCAAAGTGGAGTATCTCGTGCTGCCACATAAATACCGTGGCTTCGTGTAGCTTTTTGGGAAAACTGATGCTACAAACCCTAAACCCTACACCGCTCGCTTATGCATAAGCCTATACGGCTTACTTTACCTCCTGAGCCCCCATGATCCGTCAAGTACACCCGGAAACCCAACAATCCTAAACCCCAAACTCGAAGCCCTGAACCTTTTCCCAAACCCGACATAACTCTAAACCCTACAGCCGATCTAAACTTTCGGGATCCGGATTTAGGGTTTAAGGCTTGGGATTCAATGTGTGGGAGGTTTAGGGTTTAGAGTTCTGAACCCAAGGAGCTTGTACCTCAAGTTTGTAGGGGCCCTGCATTAGAACGAACCGTCACTTCGAAGGTTTTGGACCCGAAGTGTTGACCTCTGCCCCCAAATCTTTTGCTCCGAATGCAGTTCCCGAAGCCCTAACTTCCCCAGAGAGCCCAACACCCCTTAATTAAGGAAAATACCTTGAATTATAGGGGCTTTAATATTTTGGTTTAAGGTATATCATGGTATATCCCTTGACTAAGGGGTATGGAGCTCTCTGGGTCCTTCTATAAATTGTTGTAGAACTCTAACCCTTTAACGAGTGATGACATCCATCTGCAAACTCTCAACCCCCGAATCCCAAGCCTTTGAACCGTAATCGCCGTAATCCCCCGATGCCTCATGAAACGCGAATGCAACCCCGAAGAACCCTCCAGAGCCTCATGACAACCCTCGAAAAGATTCCTAACACCGAAAGAGAACCCTCACCTAAACCACTCCGCAGCTAGCAGAAAGCCAGGTTCAGGAGTTTACTGGGTCCTTGGTAAGGCAGTTACTTCTTAAGCTACCATGAGAAGGAAACCATGTTGTTTACCTTGGATCCCTATTTTAACAACGGAAGTTAAACTCCTTAACAAGAACGCAGTAGAGGGTTTGGGGTTTCCAGGCTCAGGATCGATGGTTCAGGGTTGAGCGTCTGGGGCTGAGGGTTTAGGGTTTAGATTGAGGGTTTTCACGGCCGAGGCTTTAGCATTCCGGGTCAGGATCAGGGCTTAGGGTTGGGGTTGACGATTTCGGGCGCAGGTCGAGGGTCTGGAGTGTGGGGTCTTAAGGCTCACCAGGTAAGAAACCAGCTCAGGGCTTCAGTGTTGATCTCCCAGCTCAGAATGCCGGTTTAGGGTGAAGTTGTCTAGCTGTTGCTGAGTTTGTCATAGGGCTTAGTCAGCAATTCATGAGCGTGGTTGCTAATGGGATGAGCCCAGTCTCAGCGCATGTAGTCTCAATGACCACCTACCTCGTACGGTGTCCCTTAAGATGGGCTTCTCGTTTTATTAGGACTTGGGGTTCAGGATTTTGAGGTTGGTTTCATCTCGAAGCATTGAACAACCCTGCACCGACCCTAAGCAGTGAAAACACCAGAAAACTGGAAACCAGCGGCGGAAACCCTACGTGACGCAAAAGATACCATGAGGTCCTACAAGTGCTTCTTAAAGCCCTACCTAGAGGCTCAGGGGACTTGGCAAGTCGTGCATCATTCCAATTTGGGCTTGGGGTAGGGTTTAGGGTTTAGGGTTTAGGGTTTAGGGTTTAGGGTTTAGGCTTGGTATGTAATCCTCAATTTAATCTACTTGCTAAATCCCTGATCCTTTAAGTATGAGGCTGTTCAAGGCTCTGTGACCCTACTGCCCTAAACCCTAAACCTTAAACCCAAAGCCTTAAACCGTAAATGCCCGTGACCTTACTTGGAGGATCAGTTATGAGTAACTAGTTACTACGTCCCATGATCCTTTAAGTACTCCTGAGCTTTCCGTTGCAGAAATGTTTTGCATATTATAGATGCCGTAAATGAGCCCTCTAGGTGTATCTTTGGGAAACCATAAACCCTAAACCCTAAACCCTAAACCTTAAACCCTAAACCCAAAAAGTCGTCGATGTCTAGCCTAAGCCCTAATCGCTCCCAGGTTCGTTCCTTTTCCCTTGTGGCCGGGCAGCCGGTTGAGAAGGCTGTGGGTTGTTTGGGCTGTTGGGCATCGGGAGAGTTGGAGGGCTTTAGGGTGTCAGGGTTTAGGTTGAGGGGTTTAGGGTTTAGGCGTTGGGGTTTGGGGATTTAGGGTTTGGGGTTTAGGCGCCTTTGGAGTTTAAAGATACTACAGGGGCCTGATTGTGGGTTCCTTATTGGGTTTATGCCATAGTGGACACAAAGTCCTACCTTCAGCATGTTGGAGTGGTTCCGTATCTCATGCTGCAGCTCCAGATTGAACATCGCGCGAGGTGCATCTGTCATTCCTAAACGTGCTTATACAAGTATAATATCCTCCCCGCCACCCCTATTCCAATTGTGAAGACCCGTATATTAACACCCCTCCAGCAGCCATTTGGAAGCCCTTGCTCATAAGACGTCACACTAGGTACCCCAGGTACCTACGTCAAGGCTTTTTGGAGGACCTCGAGTGCCCTCTCACACCCCAGACCCAAAGCCCTGAACCCCAAGCCTTGTCCTTAAGCCCTAAGCCTGAAATCGGAGGTGTGAGAATTTAGGCCTGTTGAAACAACACGAAATCGGTAATATAGAGGCCTAAAGAGTTACGAACATCATTGGTCAGGGTCCCTTGCTGGAGTGATACTATAAAGGAGCCCCAAACCCTAATCCAAGTATAAAGGCCCCTACATCATCCACCAAGCCTGAGTCCTGAAGCCTAAACCCTAAACCCGAAACCCTAGACTCTAAACCCGAAGCCCTAAACCCTAAACCCCAAACCCGAAGCCTAAAACCCTAAACCCGAAACCGGGGCGGCACTACACTATTAAAAAAAAGCCAAGCCCTGCAGGAGATGCAGAAACTCCTGCAAGTCACGATTAAGAAGATGCAGCTTCGACCAGAGGCCTGGGCCTGGGTTTGAGGGCTCAGGGCTTCGGATTTCGGGCTTAGGCTTCAGGGCTTAGGGTTCAGGGTTCAGGGTTTAGGGTTTAGGGTTTAGGGTTTAGGGTTTAGGGTTTAGGATTTCGGGCTTAGGGTTTCGGGCTTAGGGTTTAGGGTTTGGGGCTCGAAACCCTGAGCCCCTGAACCCCTAAACCCTCAACCCTAAGTTTAGGGTTTAGGTGTTCAGGGTTCAGGGTTTCCGGTTTAGGGCTCAAAACCCTGAACCCCTGAATCTCTAGGGTTTACTGTAGGTGTTCAGGGTTCAGGGTTCAGGGTTTCGGGTTTAGGGCTTCGAGTTTCGGGGGAGCTCTTGGGTGTTTCGGTGTCTACTTCCGCCATTCTTGCTCCGAGCTTTCTGCAAACCCTAAACCCTAAACCCTGCAAAGTTGCACCGGTTTCAGGATCCTTTACATGGTTTTGAGGTATTTTTGTATTTTTTGCCACCGCTTTTGAGTGGGTTTTATAGGAGTTTTTCAGGGGTTCTGGGGTTCAGGGTCCAGGGTGCAGGCTTCAGGATTCTCGGGCTCAGGGCCACTATTGGGTAGGGGGTTTTCTTTTCGGGTTTTCTATCGGTTTTGCAGGCTCCTTCAGGGATGTTGGGGGGTTTTGGAGGTTTAGGGTTTAGGGTTTAGGGTTTAGGGTTAGGGTTCAGGGTTTGCGCTACTAAGGTGAACGGAATCGTGTGAATCCTATCAGCCTTCCTCGTCGTCGCTCGCGATAACGAGTACCATCGTAGAGTTCCTCTTTGTTACCCTAAACCCTAAAACCGGACACCCTAAACCCTAAACCCTAAACCCTAAACCCTAAACCCCAAACTCCCAAACTCTAAGACCCTCAAAACCATCGGGCCTGGAGGCCAGAGCTTGAATACCATGCAAAACGTGTCCTGCATGTCTGAGCTGGGAACATGGGTTTGCGTTTTAGGGTTTAGGGTTTAGGGGTTTAGGGTTTAGGGTTTAGGGTGTAGGGGTTTAGGGTTTAGGGTTTAGGGTTTAGGGAGGGTCTATGAACTGCCAGCACGGGAACTTCGCACGGCTTCCACCAAACTTACTCCGGAAGCTTTCCCCCGGTACGGCGATAGGCGGAAGACGGCGTAAGTGTTCGTTTCAAGCTTGACACCGTGCGTATTAGCATCGCTACCGCTGTCGTAAGCCTTGGCAATCTACTCATCACTCATTTCTTGATATCTCTCTCCATATGACTCAAGAAGGCTACGGCGTCATTTCGGCGTAGACGGCGTAGAGGGGGAGGAGGTTGAAGCGTTTCAGTTTCTCCTGAGCGGTAGTCCTCAGCCCTACATCGGCCTTTTTGGGAAAGGGAGCTTCACGTTACAGATTTGAGAAAGTCTTGGGGCGCCGGAGGCAAGGTTGTACTCCCACAACCTAATATTCTTTGATCTAGACTGTCTCATAATGTCCGGGCTGGCAGCCCCTCAACCCTTCAACCCCTAAACCCTAATCCAAAACCCTCAATCCCCAAAATCCTAAACCCCAAAACCCTAAATCCCTAAACCCTAAACCCTAAACCCTTAAACCCTAACCCCCAAAACCCTAATCCCAAACCCCAGGACCCTCAACCGTAGACTTTAACCCCCCCCCGAAAATCCCGATAAGACAGGATCCTAAAGTCCAAAACCCCAAACTTGTGAACCCTAAACCCCCCAAAGTGCCGGTTTAAAGGATCCCAAACTCCACCCTGAGCCCTGAGCCCCAAAGCCCTAAACCCTAAACCCTAAACCCGAAGCCCTAAACCCTAAACCTTAGGCCCTAAACCCAAAGCCCTGAAACCTAAACCCTACACCTTGAGCCCTACATCCTAAGCCCTAAACCCAAAGCCCTAAACCCTAAGCCCTAAGCCCCAAACCCGAAACCCTAAGCCCCAAACCCTAAGCCCTAAACCCTAAGCCCTAAACCCAAAGCCCTAAACCCCAAAGCCCTAAACCCGAAACCCTGAGCCCTAAACCCCGAAAAAACCCTAAACCCTAAACCCGAAGCCCCGTTGAGGTCCGAAAGTCCAAAGAGGCCGAAGGAGCGGGGCTGCTTGGCCCGACCTTCAACATGCCCCTTGGCCAGGATTAGGATTTGGGGTTTAGGGTTTAGGGTTTAGGGGTTCAAGGTTTAGTGTTTAAGGCTTTAGGGTTTAGGGGCTTAGGGTTTAGGGTTTAGGGCTTAGGATTTCGGGCATTCGGGGTGTTCGGGTTTTGGTGGTTAGGGTTTGGGAAATTTCGGGTTTCGGGGTGTTCGGGTTCGGTAGATTTCGGGTTTCGGGTTTAGGCTTTAGCAAATTTCGGGTATAAAAATTCGGGTTTCGGGTTTAGTAGTTCAGTGTGTTTCGGGGTTAGGTTTTTGTAGATTTCGGCGGGTTTGGTAAATTGCGGGTTTCGGGGTTAGGGTTTAGTGGGTTTCGGGGTGTTCGGGTTTAGTAGATTTCGGGTTTTCGGGGTGTGCGGGTTTGGTAAATTTCGGGTTTCGGGGTGTTCGGCTTTAGTAGATTTCGGGTGTTCGGGGTGTTCGGGTTTAGTACATTTCGGGTGTTCGGGTGTTCGGGGTGTTCGGGTTTAGTAGATTTCGGGTGTTCGGGTGTTCGGCTTTAGTCGATTTCGGGTGTTCGGGGTGTTCGGGTTTAGTAGATTTCGGGTTTCGGGGTTAGGGTTTAGTAGATTTCGGGTTTCGTGGTGTCTGGGTTTAGTACATTTCGGATTTTGGGGTTAGGGTTTAGTAGATTTCGGGTGTTCGGGGTGTTCGGCTTTAGTAGATTTCGGGTCTTCGGGGTGTTCGGGTTTAGTAAATTGCGGGTTTAGGGGTTAGGGTGTGGTAGATTTCGGGTTTGGGGGTGGTCGGGTTTAGTGAATTACGGGTTGCAGTCTGCGCCCTTTAAATGGTGCACCCTACGCCTGCAAGCCCCTCAACAATGGAGTGAAGCTAACCCTAAACCCTAAACCTTAAACCCTAAACCCTAAACCCTAACCCTAAACCCCAAACCCTAAACCCGGGTTTCCATCCACTCTCGGCCATAAATCCCTTCGCATTCCACCGGCCTAGACTGGTGCTTGCGCCTGAGCCCTAAACTTCTGGACCCTAAACCCACCCTAAACCCCTCCCAAACCGCAAACCCTAAACCCCAAACCCTAAACCCCTCCCAACCCCACAAACCCTAAACCCTAAACCCTATACCCCAAAACCTAAACCCCAAACTCGCCGGAAACCCTGAACCCCAAACTCCTAAACCCTAGACCCCAAAACCTAAACCCCAAACTCGCCGGAAACCCTGAACCCCAAACTCCTAACCCTAGACCCCAAAACCTAAACCCCAAACTCGCAGGAAACCCTGAACCCTAAGCCCTAAACTGTGCGAGAGACGAAGGTTCCCTGCGTTGTTTCACATGGCCGCTTGGCGATGCATTGGGTGGGCCCTGCTTGGAGGATCATGGGACCATTTTAATGAGGTTATAAGTCCCCTAATTGGGGTTATAAGTCCCTTAGTTGGAGTTATAAGTCTTATTTGGGGCTATAAGTCGCTTAAGTGGGGTTATATGCCCCTTAATGGGGGTTATAAGTAAATATAAGTATAGTTACTTTAAGTATAACCCTACTTACTAAGTCCCATGATCCTTTAAGTGGGGAAAGAGGGGGGGGGGTCCCTAAAGCTGTAGAGCCTAAACCCCAAACTCCAAACCTCAAACCCCACGGTTGAGGGATTGGGGTTTAGGGTTTGTGCAATCTGTCATGCGGACTGTCACGAAGCGAAGGGTTTCGGGGAACCCTGAGCCCGAAACCCTAAGCTGTAAACCCCAAGGCCTAAGCCTAAACCCTAAACCCTAAACCCTAAACCCTAAACCCTAAACCCTAAACCCTAAACCCTAAACCCTAAACCCTAAACCCTAAACTCCAACTCCAGAAGCCCAAGGCCCTAGATC